GATGGGGGGAGGGCTAGAAACAAACTGTAGGGATTAATTTTTGTTTACAACCTAAAACACTTGTTCTATTTTACATGAAACAAATTCTCAGCAGAGAAATGACACTCTGAAGCAAGGTAATTAACATATCTAAATTTGGTTCAGAGAGCCTAATTCATAGCCTTAGAGTGGAGCTTCACCAAGGGATTAAATGCCCTGTGTGTACTTCGTAATTTTGGTAGTAAATGCAAACAACTTAATACTCATTGGAAAGGACTACTGGAAGGGACTACTGTGGTGTAAACATTGGGGAATATGACAAAATTCACCATGCAGGGTGCAACCATCCTTTTGTCCAAAGCTGTAATTCAGGGCCAACCAGAAAGCTTTGCAGGATTTCAATATGAATGAGAGGCACCTGTGACTGTGAGGACACTGAGCTAATGAGGGACGGTTGAAAAGCCGCTGCTCAGCAGCACTCAGGGTAATTTCCTCAAAATCTTTCAGTGGTTCTCACATTTCACTTCGGGCCAAACAGTACAAGCGGAGATGTGGTTAGAAATGATCAATGAGCGAGGAATGCCAAAGAAACTGAATGGCCTGGAAAGAAACTGGGAAGTCTCCCAGTTACAGAAGAAAGTCAGTAAAATAGAGCTTGGAGGTAGAATGCAGGGCACGGAGATGAGCAGTGCCCGAGGCATGGCAAAATAACCTACTAACGCCAACAGAGCCAGCCAGGAAAGACATGTGCAGGAAAAGCAGGACAATCAGAGCATGAGTCCTGCCAGGTCAACACTGAAAACATATTTATAAATGTGTGCCAGACTTTTGGAATTTATTTCAAAGATCAGAGAAATCTATAGGAATGAGATGGGGTGGAAGGAGTGGGAGGATATTTAGAATTCAACTGAGTAATGATTATTGAAGTGGTTGAATATGCCTACCTCTTAACATATTCCGATAGTTTTCTTTAAAATATTTTTTCCCTCTAACTCAAGGATTAAGATGTAATCTGCCCAAGGCTCTGAGTCAGGAGTGGGTGTTGAGCTATGGAGAGAATCTACAGTTAGCAGTTACTGGGAAAAACCTGTTTCTCCTTGAGTAACCCTGTACCAGCGAGGTTTCCAGGTTACTAAAAGGGCTACCACGGGTTCCTGAAGCTTCCCTTTTGAGAACAGAACCTAGCTCCTCACCATGACTTTTTTTTTGCTTGCACAACATGGCATGTGGGATTTTAATTCCCCCACTAGAGATCCAATCTGTGTCTCTGAATTGGAAGCTTGGAGCCTTAACCAGTGGACCACCAGGGAAGTTGCACATCTTTTTAAAGATGTTTGATTGTTGGAGTAGGTGCTCAGAGGCTACCAATGAGAGGTCAGTAGTTCATCCTAGACTTCCACCATGTCTATGAGACAGCGTCTCTCTCCACCAAGCACAGAGGTGCTCCTGCTCAAAGGGAAGAATTCTGCTGATTATGGAGGGATGGGAAGAGCTTCTTCAGAGCTGCAGAGGTCCAGGTCTTAACGGAGCTGTTGTAAACATGTGCATCTAAAAGAAGAGGTTTACCTGCTTGCTGTATTTGTTTACTACTTAAAGGCTTTGAGGAGACAGACTAAATGGATATACATACCACAGAGGCATTAAAATAAAAAAAAGATGTAAAGTGAGCTAAGGAGAGGATGAAGATGAGGGAAATGCAGGCTAAGAGAGTTACTGCCATTGAACTCTAAAATTAGCTCAACTTCTTGGCATTGAAAACACATTAGGAAACACAATGGCTATATAGTTCTCACGGTCTGATAAAACTAAGCACACAGGTTCCTTACAAGAGACAAGACTTCCTCAGTCACAGGTACCTTCTGGATAGCTCTCAGACTCTCCTTCTTTCCATCATCATTGCCACAAACCCAGTCCAAACTCTTGACTGAATTACTTTAATCGTCTCCAATCACAGTCTTCTCCAAATCTTTGCATAGCCTCCACATCACAGAAGTGGTCTTTTTAAATGCAAATAGGAGATCACATCTCATTGCTTTTTAAAAACTGACATACAACGTTCTATCTGTTTTAGGTATACAGACATAATGATTTGATGATTACCATCATAACTTTATATTGTATATTGTCACCCTGCTTATTTAACTTCTATGCAGAGTACATCATGAGAAATGCTGGGCTGGGGGAAGCACAAGCTGGAATCAACATTGCTGGGAGAAATATCAATAACCTCAGATATGCAGATGACACCACCCTTATGGCAGAAAGTGAAGAAGAACTAAAGAGCCTCTTGATCAAAGTGAAGGAGGAGAGTGATTTGTTGGCTTAAAGCTCAACATTCAGAAAACTAAGATCATGGCATCTGGTC